CAATGGCTTGCCAGAGCCTCTGCGCCCCAGAACAGGTTAGGAAGCGTTGTACACGATGCAGGTGGTGCCAGCGCCCTCGGGCGATGGCGAGGGCACAGACATCATCAAGTACTTTCTGTTCTCGAGTCCGCAGCCGTTGGTCGATGTCGAGAGTCGCCTCCTGTGCGATGGCGAGGTATTGTGCGCGCTATCCGGGGGCAAGGGAGGTGATGTCAAGACGCCGTGGAAAGTCTTGGTCTACATGATGGATCGGCTCGGTGGCACGCGCTTTCGGTGCCACTTACCCCCGCAGGCGAAGGGCGCAAACGAGAAGAATAAGTGCATTCCTCAGGACGTGATTGTTTCCCAGTACCAGTTTATTAAGGACAACGCCCCGCGCGGCAACTTCGATTGCGAGCAGATGATGTGGATCGACTTCCAGCTGAACGACCCGCAGAGCCCCGTCCACAATTGGAAGGAGGGGAAGATCAAGGAGGTTCTCTCGCACATCAAGGACCAGAGCATTCAAGCGAAGAAGATCACGTATCACCCCATCTTCATCTTCGACTCGGGGGGCGAGGGCGTCGAGCGCGCGAAGCGCCTCGTTCCTACTTTCAAGAGCCATTCCTGCCTCATGGTCGGCGAGCCTGGCGAGGGGAAGGTGCCGTACCTGGAGACGATGGCATTCGCCATGACCGACTACCACGCGGACAAGCAGGGCGACCGCAGTTTGGCATCGCACCGAGAGGCGCCAGACCTAGACTTCTTCAGGGCTGAGGAGGGCACGAAGCACTGCCCGCGCGTCTTCGACGATGGCGACTTTTTCGAGCAGCGCCCGAAGACGCTGAAGGCTTTCTTGGACGCCGGCCAGTTCCAGGCGATGTCGAGGGAGCGGTGGGGGGCAGCCAAATTCGTTCGCGGTCAGGCGCGCTTCGCCGCGGAGAACATGTACGACGAGACAGCTGTTCCCACCATGGACGCATGGCGCGGCGCGTGCGTATTGTCCCCAGCTGAGGCCAAGAAGAAGCGGAACCAGTACTTGTTCGACATGTTGAAGCGTACCTTTCCCAAGGACATGTCCAAGGCGAACGTCGCGGCCCTCTTGAAGCGGTCCTCCGTGGTCGTGAACACCAGCGATGACGTGTTCGAGCGCTTGGCGGGGGCTGGACTCGGACGTGACGGGGGCCCCGAAGGTGGGCCACTACATCACCGCGGCGGCGGGCAAAATCTTGTACGACTACATCAAGAACGGCGTGATGCGGGGCGCCGAGGAGCACCGCGCGCTCAGGGACAAGCAGCTCCGCTTCATGAAGGCGCTGCTGGACAAGGGGGCCGCGCCCGTGCCTCTCGCGGTGAAGAGGGAGCTCCTTGACGACGCCGAGGGCGGCAGTGGTGCGGCGGCCAGCGAGCCCCTCCCCAACTTGCCAAATCGCGTCCGCTGGGCGAGGTCATTCGGGGCCATGCCGCAGGGCGAGATCGACCTCTCGACCCCGCCCGACGCGCCCCCTGGCGCTGCCGCCGAGCCGAGCTCCCAAGACATCGCCGCTGCGTTCGACGACGCGGACAATGGCGATCAGCTCGGCGTTGGCGGCATGGACGATGCTTCGGATTGAGCGGGCGGCCGCTTCGGCGGGGGGCAGCGAGCGGCCAACGCTGCCCCTGGTAATTATGAATACATATCGGTTCTACATTGCCTGTCCCGACTGGGCTAACGACAGGAACCATAGAAGCAGCCACAAACGCCATCTACCAGAAAACGTCGCCGTCGTCATCCTCATCCTCTTCACGCCCCTGTTATTTCTTTCCTCATCGTCTGCTGTCCAGGTTCGCCAATCGACTGTTCAAGGTCCGCGGTCCAGGACTAGACACAGATGGGGCCCATGATTAGGTTGCCCGATCGAAAGGAGAATGCTGAGGAGGAGAAGGAGGAGGAGGGGGAGGAGGGGGAGGAGGAGGAGAGAGCAGGCGCACGCAGGAGCAGGAGCAGGAATCTGCAAGGATGAGGGGTGATAATGAGGAGCTGCGTAGGCAAACCTTGCGAAAACACAAATATTATTTATATGTTTAAAGGTTTGGGTAGTGAAACCCTATGGAAACACATATATTATTGATATGTGTAAAGGTTTTGGTAAGGAAACCCTGCGAAACCACATGTAGTATTGATAGGTTTGAAGGTTTTGGAAAGGAAACCAGGTGAAAACACAGATATTTTTGATATGTTGTGGTTTTCTGGAGGAGGAGGAGGAGGAGGAGAAGGGGGAGGGGGAGGGGGAGGAGGGGCGCCCGTTTCCAGAAAACCACGCACTATCAATAAAATCAGTGTTTTCACAAGGTTTCCTTACCAAAACCTTCAACAATATAGGTAACAACTGTGTTTTCACAGGGCTTCCTTACCAAAACCTTCAAACATATCAGGAATATTTTTGTTTTCGTATGGTTTCCTTCAGAACGCAGCCCCTGTGTAAGGCTGGAGGGGGAGGAGGAGGAGGAGGAGGAGGAGGGGGATCAGGGGGAGGAGGAGGAGGATGATGATGATGAGGAGGAGGAGGAGGAGGAGGGAGGAGGAGGAGGAGGAGGAGGAGGAGGAGGAGGGAGGAGGAGGAGGAGAAATATGAGGAGACGGAGGATGAGGAAATGTGGGGGAGTGGATAACATGTATGATCAGAATCCACCGAAAGGTAGATATTGGGGGGGGGCGACCATATATATATATATATATATATATATATATACATACATACATACAGAAATCCATATACATACACACAAATGTAACATACATGCATACACATACGCATACACACATATATATATATATGTATATATACATACCATAATGGTTTCGCCGAAATCCTTACCCGCAGAATCGTGCGGCGAACTCGCAAATGACGGGGTCAACTAAAATATGAGACGGCATGGGGAAACAATTAGTTAATTGTCCCTTCCCCCCCCCCCAACCTCAATGATGGCACCCGCGGGGGGCGTTGCGGTCGACGTGCATCTCATCAGACCCACCGCTAACTTTGAACATCTTTGGGGGGGGAGGAGGCGTTGGCGGATGAATGTGGTATGAGTGTTCACTAATTTGTCCCGAGGCCTGCAAGGAACACCGCTGAGGGCCCCAGTGGGAAGTTCGTGTGACACCGCCGCCCTAGTCTGGCACGCCCCTCATGCGCCTCGTGGCCCCATAGGAAGCTCCACCGAAACCGCCAATGGGAAAGTTCGCATCGCACCGCCGACCCATGTCGGCACGCCCCACACACGTTTCGTGTCCCCACAGGGAACTCCACTTACGGCCCCAGTGTGAAAGTTCGCATGGCAGCGCCGCCGCCCGATTTCGGCCCGCACCTCACGCGCTTCGTGGCCCCACAGGGAACTCCGCCGAAAACGCCGCTGGGAAAATTCGCGTGGCACCGACGCCCGATGTTGGCACACCCTCGCACGTTCCGTGCATAGGGAACCCCACCGACGGCCCCACTTCGAAAGATCGCATGGCACCGCCGTTTGATTTCGGCACGCCCACACGTTTCGTGGCCCCACATGGAGCCCCACCGGAGGTACCACTTCGAAAGTTCGCATGGCACCGCCGTTTGCTGTCAGCACGCCCGCACACGTTTCGTGGCCCCACAGGGAACTCCACATGAGGCACCAGTAGGAAAGTTCGCATTGCACCGCCGCTTGATGTCGGCTCGCCCACACACGTTTCGTGGCCCCACAGGGGGCTCCACCGAAGGCACCAGTTGGAGAGCTCGCATGGCACAGCCGCCCCATTTCGGCACACCCCTCACACGTTTCGTGGCCCCATAGGGAGCTCCACGGAAGGCCCCAGTGGGAGAGTTCGCGTGACACCGCTGCCCCACTTCAGTACACCACTCACGCGTTTCGTGGCCCCATAGGGAGCTACACCGAAAGGAAAGTTCGCATGGCACAAACGCCCGATTTCGGCACACCCGTCACACGCTTCGTGGTCCCATAGGCAGTTCCACAGTGGGGCAAATCGCATGGCACCGCCGCCCCATTCTGGCACACCCTTCACAAGGCCCCATAGGGAACTCCGCAGAAGGCCGCTGAGGGCAAGTTCGCGTGGCACCGCCGCCCCATTCGGCACCCCTCACACGTTTCGTGGTCCTGTGGCACCGCCGCTTGACTTCGGCACACCCTTCACACTTTTCGTGGACTCGTAACGAGCTCCACCGAAGGCCTCAGTGGGAAAGTTCGCATGACACCGACGCCCCATCATGTCGGCACACCCCTCACACGTTCCGTGGCCCCATACGTACTTCCTTTGTGGGAAAATCACATGGCACCGACGCCCCATCATGTCGGCACATCCCTCACACGTTTCGTGGCGCCACAGGGGCTACACCGAAGGCTCTAGTGGGAAAGTTTGTTGGCACCGCCGCCCCATGTCGGCACACCTCTCACACGTTTCGTGGCCCCACAGGTAGGTCCACGGAAGGCCCCAATGGCGGCGTTCGCAGGCGTCCCGCCGACTCATGTCGGCACACCCTTTCACACGCTTCGTGGCAAAAGGCTATACCGCGTGCGCTACTCGGAGTTTGCGCGCCCCCCTCTTTAGTTTCATTTCCTTCGCGGCATTCGCAGCTGCATGTGGTTGGGTCCTGCGTCAAGCTAGTTTTTGATAGGGATGGTGGGTGGGTCCGCATCGGGTTAGTTGCGCATGTTCCGAATGTGGAGGCAACATGCGTTTTGTAGTGTTTTTGTGACAGGAGTGGTAGGGGGAGGTCACCATGGTGTCCTCATTGTTCCTGGTTGGCTGCCGGTCGCATGGGAGAGGGGGTGTCTACATTTCATAGGGAACAGTGATCAACCCCTCCCCAAAGGGGAAGAAGGGGGTTGGAAAAGGAACCTCTCTAGACCACCGTCGCCCAGAGGGCTCGTGGGATTCGGCAATTTAGAGCCTGGCCCCCTTCATAGTTCTTCATTCAGGACTGGTATCGAAGAGCTACAATGGACCTGAGGACACTCCAAGTCGTGCCTCAGTGCACGGTGGCGGTTACATGTGGCGCTATGCTCACCAAGCCGAGCCACAACGGATGCGGGATTATTTTGCGATTGTTCACGTTTGCGCCTGTTGGGTACGTAACACGGTGCGCTGAAGAGCCGTTCCTGCGCAATGGACGCTTGGTATTGCACGGGAGACGTTAGTACCCTATAAGCCGTATTTCCGATTGGGGAAGTCATGATGTTGCGTAACATGTTTCCGATTGGTCAGGCTCCGTGCGCGCGCATTCAGCAATGGCAATCACGCATGTTGCTTGCATTCTGGCGCATTGGGTGTAAGCACTCAGTATCAGAGGGACTGGCCACATTGTTTGAAATCCATTTCGGGTCATTTCGGACCGCATCGCAAGCTCGAATTTGTGTTATCCTTGGGTTGTGAGGGTGGGGCTGCGAGTGAGCGTCGTTTGGGCCGACGCCCGCTCGAACGCATTGAACTCGTTTGTGCCCACCTTTCTTTGCATTGTGCCGTTCGCTCTTGCTGGTCTCCGCGCGGTGTGACCCCGCCCGTCGTCGCGCCCACCGGCAGCTGCTGCATGTTTGTGCAACTTGGGCATGCGTTTCAATGCGATCTCGGGAGAGAGTTTCTGTTCCTGGCCTGCGAGGAGGAGGGTTGGGAGGAAGAGTGGGAGGAGGAGGACATGGACGGGGTGTGGGAGGCTAAGGAGGAGGCGGACCAGGACGGTGCCAGGACGATGGGGAAGGGGACGGATGGAAAAGGATGATGAGGGAAGGGTTTGCGTGGAAGGCGCAGACGGAGAGGGATGTGAAGGAGGATGGAGGATGGAGTAGCAAGAGGCAGACGGAGAGGGACGTGGGGGAGGATGGGGGAGGCAACATCATCGGGAGGATCGAGGAGGACACAGCATTGAAACGGATGGAGGATTGAGGATGTTTAATGATGTAGGATGTGGGAAGGAGGGAGGCTGGTGGAGGAGGGGGACACCCGAGTAAACTGAGCACACGTCACTGATGCTGTAATACGCCCTCCCATCCGAAGTCCCCTGCACACCATTCGGCACAAGTATGTGCATCATTCCATTGCGGTGAGGTCCTGCTGAGAAAATGATGGGTCTCATGGACCTGTATGGGGATAACCCAGGGCGTTTTGAAATTCGCATCGACGACTCGTATCCCACTGCGCATTATTTGAACACAGAGTGAGCTTTCGAGGGAGTCGCCCTCAATACATGTTCTCACGACTAAGTGTGCATATCGTTGGAGAGACACGTGCACGTTCGAAGAGGAAGCGCACTCCATCTGTGTTGTTCTGGCGAAAATTCATATTTGAAGCAGAACAGTTCTCCGTCTCTACTTCGCTTCGACACTTCGAGCTTCAGCACCACATAAGGTGGACTGCCCTACATCCATGTACCTCGTTGGCTTTGGTGGGCGTTGGAGGAATCTGGAGGGAGTTTCAGGCGAGAGCTCTGGTTTGAAGGGAACTACCCTTCCTCTGCGTAGTGGTTTGGATATGGTGGCAAGGATTGGCATGCTATCTTATGAGGGAGGCTCAGGCCAGATCCGAGTTTTGACAACGGGCCGGGGAGGTATACGGGGGGGGGGCATGCGGTATGGGTTACGGGGTATTTGGAATGAGGGATGCTGACGATGTTGCTGATGATGATGTTGCTGATGCTGATGATGATGTCGATGATGCTGAGGACGAAGCTGAGCATGCTGATCAGGATGTTGATCCTGATGATGCTGCAGCTGATGATGCTGACGATGCTGATGCTGCTGATGTTGTTGATGATGATGCTGCTGCTGCTGATGATGATGATGATGATGATGATGATGATGATGATGATGATGATGCGGGCGCTCATGATACTGATGATGCTGAGGATGAAGATGATGATGCTGATGATGCTGATGCTGACGATGCTGATGAGGAGTACGATGCTGGTGATGTTGCTGCTGCTGCTGATCATGACGATGATGACGGTGCTGCTGAGGAGGATGATGCTGATGCTGAGGATGAGGATGCTGATGCTGATGCTGATGATGGTGCTGCTGATGCTGATGCTGATGCTGACACTGATGATCATGCTTATGATACGGATGCTGATAATGCTGATGATGATGCTACTGATGCTGATGCTAATGCTGATGAGGATGCTGATGAGGAGGACGATGATGCTGATGCTGACGACTATGAGGATGAGTATGAGGACACTGAGGCTTCTGATACGGATGGTGCTGCTGATGATGGTGACGATGCTGATGATGGTGACGGTGATGATGATGATGATGATGATGATGATGATGATCATGATGATGCTGATGATGATGATGATGATGATGATGACGATGATGATGATGATGCTGATGATGATGATGGTGATGTTGGTATTGATGATGATGATGCTGATGATGATGGTGATGGTGATGGTGATGATGATGCTGATGATGATGAGGATGCTGCTGATGATGCTGATGATGAAGAGGCGGAGAATGATGCTAATGCTGCTGTTGATGATGGTGATGATGTTGAGGGGGAGGAGAAGGAGGAGGCGGAGGAGGAGGAGGAGGAGACGGAGGAGGAGGAGAGATCACCCAAGATGCATCAGCGATGCTGGAACACACCCATCCGTTCCAAGGCCATCTTCGTTAGTACCCAGAAGCACTCCCCTGCGCTGCAGGAAGCGCCCCCTCCCAGGAGAAGACGAGCGCCCGACGGGCCCGCACAGGCGGGAGCTTCGCTTTGACGGACACCGCCCTTCACCCGAGCTACAAGCCTTGTGACAAGCTCAAGGATGTGCCTTACCGTGGAGGCCCATGCCAAGAACAAAACCCTGCTTGCCTCCAGGGTGCACTGGGTTCCCTGGGTTTCGATGGTTTTGCGATGGGAAACGCGACGTTCCCACACCGAAAATCAAGGGGCGCCCTGGGTTCCAGGGATGGTTTTCTTGTGGAAGGTTTCTTCTGGTCGGGCTCCTTATGTAGCGGCATTCCCGATCTGAGAAGGAACCACCTTGCATCCGTGCAGATGTCGCACCAGGCTAGCACGCTGGTCGTTGAGAGCAGGTATTATTGGACGCCCAGAGCTCGATCTACTTTATGTGACGACCTACTTTTAGAGTCGATGCGCTTTTGCTCTGCTTTGTTATGATCTGGGAGGGCCTGGTACCAACCTGCTTTATCCGCCTTCCTGCTTCACGTTTCTACCAACTTCTTCCGACCGACGGGTAATTTCTAGTCACGAGTTGTTGCGCGAACTCAGGCGAGAGCCCCACCTCTGGCAGGAGCCGCCCTCCATCCGTGTAACTGCCGTACACTTTGACACTAGTGGTCTTTGTGTCGAGGATGTCTTCAGCGAGAGTCCCATGTTGAATTGGTGCCAGCCTTCCTTCGTGTTTTTTTTTTTCTCACGCATGTGCGCGGCGCTAAGACGAGAGCCACATGTCGAGTCGGTCGGCCTTCTACATTCATGCCTCTCGTGGATTCGTTGAGACGAATGTGTGCGGCGCTGAGGCGAGTGCCACATGTTGCAAACGACCGGGCTGATAGGTTTTTGTTTGATGAGTGTGCGCTGCGCTAGCAGCGACCGATCCGTTTCATGTGACCGTGGATCCGTTTCATGTGAACGTGCGGGGCGTCAAGGCGAGAACCACATTTTGAAAGCCACCATCCCTCCATTTGTGTAGCTGCTGGAAAAACGCCAGGTCTCGGGATGGTCGGTGGTGGGGATGGCTCCAGCGGAACGCCTTGCCTAGCCTTGGGAAGCGTCTGGTGGTGCGGCAGGGAGGAGTTACAGTGGAGGACCATGGGCTTCTAGGGTTTCGATGGTTTTTCTATGGAAAGCGTCACGTTCCCACACGTAAGATCTATGGACGTCCTGGGTCTCAGGGTTGGGTTTCTTGTGGAAGAATTCTTGTGGACTGGCCTACACTGTACTTATGCGGAAGAGGGATGAGGGGGGGAGACTTCAGGGGCATCGCAATGAGGGGATAGGCATGGGGGGATGCGTCGACCCCAATCGCTCAGTCATCGCCGAGAGGGGCCCGATAGCCCCAACCTCCCAAGAATGTGCGGATTTACTATCGGCGGCCTCTCGCCGATCTATCGGCGACGTATCGACGATTCTTGTTCGATGTTTCCGGAACTGAGGAGGACTGAGGAGGATGCCCCTCAAACTTGAGGAGGACTGAGGAGGGTGGATTAAGGAGGGAGGAAGGAACGGCAGCGGGCAATCGAGGAGGCCAGGGAAGGGGTGCGACTGGCGTAAACACGAATCCTGCCGCGGCGGACCCGAGTGCGCGCCTGGCCGGGCCGCACAGGGGCAGGATGGGGAGGAAGAGGCGGAGACGATGGGGGGGATGAGGAGAAGGGAGGAGGAGGGAGGGGGAGGGGCAGGGAGAGATGGAGGGAGGGAGGGGAGTGAGGAGGATAAGCAGGGACGAGGAAGGTGTGAGGGAAGAGGAAGATGAGGAGAGAGAGCAGCAGCAGCAGTAGGGGGAGGGGAGGACAAGTTCCCCACTTCCCTCTCTCAACGTCCGTTCCAGGATGACGAGGACCTCTCCACCAGTGCTGAAGTTTGATCTGAAGACGAGTCCAATGAGAAGGAATGGCAGGCAGGCTGATGCTGATGAGGATGAGGAGGAGGTGCGGGAGGAAACGGTGTAGGGACGTGCTCACTGCGGCCGCGGGTGTGGTTATTTTGTGTTTAGGTGGTATTCCGATTCGATCTAGTTTGGTTCTGAGCCAAGTCAAAACAGTTGGAGACACGTATGTAACACCAACTTGCCCCCAACGTGGGCTGCATTTCAACATCGGTTCGGCATCGATTTTGGAGGCCCCAACGCGGCACAGCGTGATACCAACGGGGGATCAAAGCGGCGCCTATGAGATTGTGAAGGTTTTTTGGCCGGTGCCTCCGACCCTGAAGGCAGGACCACCTCTGCGACCCACCCCCCGCTGGCGCCCCCCCCCGGGACCCGCCTGGCCCCGGGGTGGGGCAGTAGTCTGACCCAGAACCACGCCCCCCACTCAGCCACTCGCAGAGGGGGTGGGGGGAGGGGGGAGGGCTTCTTAGAAGCACCCCTGCTTCTTGGAAGGCGCGGGCCTTATCTATAGATGTAAGGCCGTCGCCTTCTAAAAAGCAGCCTCCTTCTGAGAAGCCCTCCCCTCTCCCTTCACCCCCTTGTGCGCGCCGCCAACCTACCACAGGCTGGACCTCGGGACCGTCCCCGGGACCCTTGTCCAGGGCCGCCCCTTTTGACCTGGGACAGCGTCTCACACACGCTGAGGGGTCGGCGGATTTTTTGGGGGCACGATCCATGTGTCCATACTTGTCTCCTCTTGATGGTCGGTCAGCGCGCCTACATGTCATTTGGTCTGGACGTTTTTCCAGGTTCATGCGCAGCTCTTCAATCCCACGCGCTGCTTCGTTATGTCCAGGAAAGCGTCGCGACGGGAAGCAACCGATTGACGACTTCCGCACAAGCGGCAACAATCAAGAGCGTGGTGAGGAATTCCACCAGCTAGGAGGAATGAAGAGGATGGAAAGATGACGATGACGATGATGATGCTGACGATGATGATGATGCTGATGCAACTAGTGACGATGATGTCGACAATGATGTTGTTTGTGGT